AGAGGCAAAATTAAATATAAACACTGGACCAAACACTCATGACGGATAATTTATTCAGGGATTGCACAACAACAGTCACACATGTTAACATGAGTAGCATCAATAAATGCTTTCTCAAAAACAGCATGTTGCATGTGACAGCACGTTTTCTTGTGTATGCAGGCCGCCTCAGGACTGTAAACGGTTCAGTCTGATGGAGGTCACATTTTATTGTGCATATTGTGAATTACCGCACCAAAAAATTGGAACTAAGCAAAAAAAAAAACCCATCAGACATGAGCATTAAGGCCTGCAGTGTGAACATAGCCTAAGATTTGCCCAACTGACCTTAGTCTTGTTGTATTTTTTCAAAACTTCCCTTTTGAGCTTCTCTTATTGTGCTGATGCTTCCAGGTCAGCTAACTTCTTCACAAACTATTAATTGCTTTCTCCATCTAGCACTGATGAGATCAGAGTGTTAAAAAATCCAAAATGGTCCCAGGTGATAGGCTTACCTCTTGGACTAAGTGGTTGAGACTTGCACACACTAATTATGAATAAAACCATACCAACATGGGCTTTTGATAAAATGTAACATAACAAGAAGAAAGCCCTAAAAGAATCCAATAAATTGGGAAAAATTAGAGCTCTTAACTCTAAAACTGAACATTTTTCCTTCGTGCAGGTCTAAATTAAATTTTGTTTCTGTAGTTTAAGACAATTTACTAAACAGTTTTCACCATTTTAAGCAGTCTATGCATATTTAACAGCAGGGTGCAAGGAACAAAATCTGAATTTAAATGTTTTTACTGTCAAAAGTTGGTTTCTAATGTATTCTGGAAGTGTTTGGATGTTTTTCAGCCTCAAAGCCACTTTGTGCATGCAGGGACGCACCTCACGAACAACACTAAGCCTGTGTGGATGAATGGAGGCAGAGTTTGGCTCTTGGCTGTGTTTGTTTCTCTCGCCTCAGTTTTCCTGTTGGGTTTATAGACATTTCTTCCAGATATTTTTGCTACCTTCACCCTGCCCTATAACTGTGGTGTTAAATGAAACAGAACTAAGTAAAAGACTATAGACTGTCAAAATAGACTGAATTCAGTTGAGCCAAAAGAAGGAATAATAAAATAATTGCTTATCACTTTCAGAGCTGAAATTAAATATCAAAAGGTACCTGAAGTTAGTATTCTGCTCTGACTGATGATTTATCCTCCATGTCCAAAACTGGAATAAATGTTACTGTCCGACCTACAGAAGTGCCCTGTAAGAAACTGGATCTGTACAAACCAGTGGCAATTAGAGGAGGCAACCTTTTCTTTAGGGCCTAAAGAGAAAGTCTTGCTGCGTAGGCACGTGCTTTGATGAGCAGAGGGCTTGAAATTCCTACAGCATCTTGTTTGCCTGACAGTCTGATGTCTGCAGAAGATCAAGAATCAAATTCATCACATAGCTGTCATTTGTACTCGACTTTGACCCAAAACTGACTACAAGTGAGATTCACATGTGCACTACAGGAAACTGAGTTTCTACTCTAGGGTTTCTCCTGAGACACAATGTAAAATAAGTTAGATGCATTTTTCAACATTAAGGTCTGTGGCTGAAAAAGACTGAAACTATAAAAATAGAATCAATAATTAAACATGGTTTACATAATGTTTACTGCTGCTGCACTATGTGGCTGTATCATGTATCATGCATGTTATATCTCATGCCATACATGCCAAATATAATGTATGTATGTCACTACCTTACCATAATTCAGTTAATCTCACTTTTACTCACTACCTGTGCAATAACCTGTGTAATATATGTTAGTTATGTGCAATATGCATCATGTGCATTTATGCTTCTGTTACTACCTTGAAATACTTATTTATACAAATTCATCCTACTTGCACAGTTATATTCTACCATGTTGTTGTTTACTATCAACTCTGATCAACTAATCAACTGTTCTGCAGAAAAGCTTCTTCCAACTCAGACAGGTAGCTAAGCTCAAGCCAGTGTTGTCCAGACCTGACCTTGAGAAACTAGTCCACGCCTTTGTCACGACCCAATTAGACTATTGCAATGCACTCTACTGTATGCTGGGATCAGCCAGGCCTCCATCTCACATCTTCAGTTCATCCAGAATGCTGCTGCTTGGCTTTTAACCGGAACTCGTAGGTCTGAACATATTACACCAGTTCTTTCCTCCCTTCACTGGCTCCCTGTTCGTACTAGGATAATCTTTAAAATTCTTCTGTTGACCTTCAAATGCTTAAATGGCCTCGCACCCCTTTACCTCTCTGAGCTTCTGGAACCTTACGTTCCCTCTCCGGCCCCGAGATCATCAGATCAGCTGCTTTTGGCTGTTCCAAAAACAAGACTGAAGCTCAGAGGAGATCGGGCTTTTTCAGTCATGGGCCCCAAACTCTGGAACAACCTGCCCCCCAACATCAGGCAGGCCACCTCCCTTCCTCACTTCAAATCTCTGCTAAAAACACATCTGTTCTCACAGACATTTCACACAGTGTGAGTTGATTTAGTGTTTTGTTTTTTTATCTGTGACCCTATGTTTTAAATGCTTTTTATTAATTCTTCAGTTATTATTATTAGTGTATTGTATTTTTTTCTCTTTAATTTTACTCTCATTTGTTGTTGTTGTTGTTGTTGTTGTTGTTGTTGTTGTTAAGCACTTTGATATCAGGTTCTGTTTTAAAATGTGCTCTATAAATGAAGTTGACTTGACTACTATTTTTCTTTTGGACCTTGTAAACAGCATATTTCTTTGTCACTTTTCGGTACTTTATTGCATTCTGAAGTATTTCTTGTTTGTTTATTCTTTGTTTTTAGTGAGTCAAATCAGTTCTTCTCATCCTGAACATTTCTTTGTATTGTTGACCTGTTAACCTGCATATGATAAATTAACAACATAACATTTTACAGTGTGGTTTAGTGGTTAGCATTGTTTCCTCACAGCAAGAAGGTTCTGGGTTCAATCCCTGGTTTGGACCTGTGGTCTTTATGTGTGGAGTTTGCTTGCTCTACTCAAGTGCTAATGGACAATATTCATCCAATAAGCCAAAAACCTTAGCCAGAGTGGCTAGCAGCACTTGTGTGACTACTTTTGAGACTAATTTATTTCCATACAACCTGACTCTTATGGAATAACAAAGTGTATAATATTAATTTCTATTTTCAAGGATATTATGTTCAAGATAAGATTATCTTCAATTCAATTCAGTTTATTAATATAGTGCCAAGTCACAACAGAAGTAATCTCATAACAATGAAATCAGCATAACAATGGAAAATGTGTCCCATGCTGTTTAATAACTTTACCTAATGGAAGCATATATAAGGTAAATAGTATTGGTCCAAGCACTGAACCCTGAGGAACTCCATGACTAACTTTGGTGTATGAAGAAGTATTTACATTTACAAATCTTAGAAGGTGTTCGTCAGTTGAACTGTGAGGCAAAAAGTAGAAACTATTGTAAGAAACTAAACTAGCTGGCTGACGTCTATAAAAAGGATCATCCAGTGTCGTCTGTGAAGTTCTTATTAGTAATCAGTATCATGCCTGTTGTACAAATAACTTATTAATTTGAAACATTAATAAAAAAAAACAGGGCAGCACGGTGGCGCAACTGGTAGAGCTGCTGCCTCTCAGCGAGCAGGTCCCTGGTTCCAACCCCGGTCCAGGGGTCTTTCTGGGTGGAGTTTGCATGTTCCCTCCGTGCATGCGTGGGTTTTCTCCGGGTACTCCGGTTTCCTCCCACAGTCCAAAAACATGCATGTTAGACTGATTGGTAACTCTAAATTGTCTCTAGGTGTGAGTGAGAGAGTGAATGGTTGTTTGTCTCGTTTGTCTCTATGTGGCCCTGTGATGGACTTGCGACCCGTCCAGGGTGTATCCCGCCCCTCGCACAGTGATTGCTGGACATGGGCACCAGTGACCCCCGTGACCCAAAATGGAATAAACGGGTAAAGATAATGGATGGATGGATGAATAAAAAAAAACTCTATAAAATAAGACAAGCTAATAGCTAGTCTGAGCAGAGCCAAGACCTACAGTAAGTAGATTTGTCGTCTTGAAACAACTCCACTCCAGACGATTTTTTAGCTGTTCACCTGAATGCTACTTTATAAACTTTTAAGCTATCACCTTTGCATTAGTTGATTATTTACATCCAGTAGAAGTAACTGCATGTTGGTAAAATATGGTTGTGTGTTCGCTTGGACAGTTTTAAAATTTTGAGTTTTTACACTGAATTCCTTTTTTTTTTTTTTTTTTTTTTTTAATCAGGCAGCTTGCCAGGTTGTCATTTTGTAACGTTTCACACAGACTGTTACAATGAACCATTACTGCTAACAGACCACAGTCAACTTGGTATTACGTGTAAATAATTCCAAAGATCTGTGTAAATATTTAGCTAAAACAAAAGTAGCAGATGTAGCTATTTATAAAATAGCTTTTGCGTGAACCACAAAGATTATTATTATTTTTTTTTTGTATTGGAGTTTTAATTCAACATAAATCTATTTGGTGCTCAGACTGGCTGTTAGCCCTTTTCACCCAAACTAATAACACCAAGGGAGTTCTACTGCAGGTAACATATTGACTACTGCTAACATCTTCACTGAACCACTTCAAATCCTCCAGACTATCCTTTTGATGTACAGAGACTCCTCTGTCTTGTGCTTTGCAACAGATGGAAGCAGTGACAGGAAACAGGAGATACTCGGCTGTCGGGCTTCAGAAATAGATTTGTTTTTGAAACCATCTGAACATAAGTAAAAGAAACATTCTGTTGCATGAACCTTTACAGATAAAACAAAACATTTTAATGTTAAGGAGTGCTTTAAGATGAATCTGAACTCGGTCTAGCTGCAGATGTAGATTTGTCCTTCCATTAAATTATATTTTTATAAAAGAGATGAACAGTAGGTTAACCATCACATGGTTAGTGGCTTTTCTTGTGCTCTTTAAAGTCCTCCTCACCTTGGCTCTCATCCGCTCCCTCTGTCGGCCTCAGGTGTGACGTACGCGGAGCTGCGTCGACCTTGCCGGACCATGATCCTAGTGAACCCCCACAGCGGACGTGGACAGGCTCTCCAGCTCTTCACAGACCACGTGCAGGGCATGCTGACCGAGGCCTCAGTCCCGTACACGCTCGTCATCACAGGTTGGTCAGAAACACGGTTTCCTCTTGCCGCCGGGGTCATCTTCTTATAAAACAGAGGATTAAACCTTTGATCTTTTAGAGAACTAGGTCATGCACATGCAAGTGGAAAAGGACTATACTGTGGACCAACGTTTAATCTCTGCACGAATTATTGTTTCTGTCATTTTAAATTCAAAAGCCACATGTTCACAGAAGAGACCAGCGTGTGCACATCTGCATTCATTTTATTTCAGTCATGCCAGTTATTTCATATTCAGTAGGGTTTGAAAATGTCCTTTGATGACTTTTAAAAGCATCGTTCTGCATATTCAGGGGCAAAAAATAAATCTCACATATTGTATAATTTCCCTCCCTCATATTCAACCCTGCTGAACATGGGTCCAGTAATTTGACAGGTCTGCCATCTCCTTCGGCATCAGCTTGGCATTATGCAGCTGAATCCCTGCCGCGGCTCAAAATCAGAGGCAGATCCTGACAGCGAACGCAGCGGAAGCTGTGTTTTATGTCTCTGGGAGAAAATAGGCCGTTGTGCTTTTTACAGGTCTTTTTAGTGCAAGACTTCTCTAAAGGAGAGTCAGCAGCTGGACGAGGACAGAAACACAGCGGCCTAATTACTGTGGTCAACAAAGAGGAACTGAGCTGGACAGAATTGAAAATAGAGAGAGCATGGATCACCGAGGTCGCCTGCTTGTAAGAAACAGCAGGCAGTGAGAGGTAATTGTGGTCCAGTAAGCGCACACAGCCTCAGTGAGCGTACAACACAGCTTTAGCCCGCGGACAGGCAAGTACCAGTGGAAGCTCGTCTTGTGTTACTGTGTACCTTCTACATACTGTATGAAGCATCGAGCGGACCCGATTTAAACCTTACCTGGGTTAACCTCAGGAGAAGACAGCAGGCAGGGAATTTTAGAGGAAACTGATCATTCTGAAGAGAAATGATAGAATTCACCCGATTGTACATATTTTACTCGTAATATATCAAAAATACTTCTACAGCACATTCACCAGGGGATAAAAACAGTATTTTACAACCATTAGCTGCTCCGTGTTTTAGGTTAGTTTGATGTTTGTCCTGTCACTTTAGTTTTTTTTGGTTTTCTGTATCAGAGCATAATACAATAAAAGGCGTAGGATTCCTTGTAGCCTCCCAGAGTTTTAGACGAAGCGCATCACATGTTGAGAAATGATGCGATTCTACTCATTTTGGAAAACCTTCAAAAATGACGTTACACATAATCTCACATCGTGTTGTGAATTTGCTCGGTTACTATCGCACCAAATTTTGGCTCAAAATTTGTAAAACTGACCAAGTTGTAACCGTTTTTAATTATGGTTAATGTTGATTAGCTGTGGTGGCAATCTTGAATTGCGTTAGCTCCAAACGGTAATAGGTTGTAGATGGGCATTCATTATTTTCTGATGGTTTCATTAAGATCCATCCAATGGTGTATGAGATGTACAATGTATATTTCAACAGTTAAGACTAAAGTTTTTGGCAAATATCTGGCACAATGAGTAGAACTAAGGATATGTATTGTGAATGACTTTGATCTACAACAATACCAAATATTAGCACATCATCTGCAAAACTGATCATAAAAAGCACAAAAATGGCTATAATTTAAATTCATATGGTTATGGCAGCCATCTGTGATTTGATGGGCTCTAAAAGTTTATCAGTTGTAGAGGCACAGCCAAGGATTTTTTTTTTTCCTGAAAGTTTCATTTAAATCAAGTAGTTCATGACAAATGTTGCTAAAAGACAGATGGAATTACCTCTAACTAGGTAATGGCAAACATTTTAACAAAGATCTTGAGCAATCTGTTTTAAATATATGCAAATAAACCTCAGATGAACCACAAAACATTGCAACATACTCGTATTAATTTATTTTTTACAAAAACTAATACAAATATGGAGTGAAAATTTAAACACCTTTATCTCTATAGGAATTTAGAAAGTACTTAACAGCCTGCTGATCAAACATACCGGTAGTTCAGTCTGTAGACGGAAAGATTGTTCCACAAGTCATAAACTCTAGATATTTGTGTTAATCTCAACGGGATTGAACTTCTCAGAAAATTCCCCTCCAGAAAGATCGAACTGTGCAATTATTGGAGGAAGTCTAAAATCCCCAAAACTACATCGCCAACTTAACAGTCCCAAGTTATCAAGACATTTTGGTTATAAAACACAAGCATGGCTTGTTTGGAAGAGCCGTCAGCAGAAAGCCTCTTCCCTTCACTCTAATATCGAGCATGGTGGTGTGGTACGCTACAGGTTATGTTATACCACTAGATCATCCATCCATCCATCCATCCATCCATCCATCCATCCATCCATCCATCCATCCATCCATCCATCCATCCATCCATCCATCCATCCATCCATCCATCCATCCATCCATCCATCCATCCA